TAAGAACATACAATAGATGCAAGTATTGGTAGTAATTTGGGGGCATCATAGGACTTTTATTCCCCACATGGCGCAGTGTCTCCATCCGTTATACTGCCTGGTTAAGATAGAGCACATATGGGATTGGGGATCAGAACAACAAGCCTCCTTTGAAAAGGTAAGAATAGCTCTGAGATTCTCACAAGCAATGCTGCCATTTGAGTTGGATGTGGCGCTGGAAGGTATGGATTGGGCCCTAATGAAGCAGAATTTTTGGACTGGAACACTTGGTGTTCCCTTGGGCAGGATGTCCCAGATTCTTTGTCTGCGGAGTCAAAGAATAAATCCACGGACAGAGGTGGTATAACAAAGGTGGAGATTTATTAAAGAACAAGTACAGACTCCTACATAGGGAGGGGGAAGAGTCCCACTGAGTTCCTTTTCCCTATGGCTCATGAAGGATGCAGATCCTGGTGCCTTGATATCCCCTCTGATTGGTCACTATTCCCTTGGACTGGTTACTACAGTAACTTCAGGGCTCAAAGGTTGAACCTCACATGGGACATGTGAGGTCCTCCTCCCTCCACCCTCTTATTGTTTTCCTATTCCCTTTGGGCTTTCTTCTCCTTCTGGATGAAGGGCTTCCTTACCTTTATTTTGTAAATATAGACCTTTCGCTGTTCCCAGCTCCCTTATTCTATGGAAATGTACCTGTTCCAGCTTTTCAGCTCCCCCATTCTATGGAAATATACCTTCTGCTGCTCTGCAGCCCTGTGCTTCCTCCACGGTGCCCTTAATTTCCAAAATTTCTAAAATTTCCTAAACTGGTCCCTTTTTACCCCTAAAAATTCCTGTTTCACTATGACAGAGACAACATGAAAGAGTATGCCTAGGATTTTGGCCCAAGGTCTGGAAGGGGGCATACAACCCTATTTACCCCCGAAGAGCAACAGCTCCTAACAGTGTACACGGTGCTCTTCTAAGGTAGAGCCTTTCACAAAGAAACAGCATATCATGATACAAGCCTCCCTTCCTATCAGGGGTGGGCTGAGACTATGTTCCATGTTCCATTGATCCACCTCTACCATGGCTCAAACTCCCATGCTGGCTAAACAGCAATCTCATTTGCAGCAGATGAGCACCCTGTCTGCCAGTGGCTCCTACAAATGCAAGCGCTACTAGGCCCTGTAGGGTATGTAGATCTGCCAAATGCCTGTGTCCCTATATCCGTGGCAGATGCCGGGGCCGGAAGAAAAGAATGAAGGAAATTCCCATTGATGCTTGTTAGACAGATGGGTCTAGTTGGGGCAACTCACCCACATGGACTACAGTCACTATTCAACCCAACACTGACACCATCTGGATGGAAACAGGAACGAACCACAGTAGCCAGTAGCCTGAACTCAGAGCATTTTGCTTTGTGACCACTGATGTGGCTTGGCTGTCAACCCGTTGCACTCACAGTGGGGCTGTTCTAAAGAGATTAACCCTATGACTTGGACAATAAGAAGCTAAGGGATGGATGATCATGAATAAGCCCTTGTGGGGTCGGGGTACATGAGAAGACATTTGGGTTCACCAGCAAGAGACTCAGGTAGTCCTCACTGTTTGCCACGTCCCAGCTTATAAGATTCTGATACCCCTGGCAATCAGGAACTAGATTCCTTGGCTTGGGTATGAACCCTAGCAATAGACCTTCTTCTAGCAGATATAGCAGATTGTATGCAGAGAAAGAACAGCCAGTATAGTGCCAGGGTGGGATGACATATTTGCAAGGATGCCAGATTGTCAATGAAATACAAAAGCAACTCAGACCAGGGATATGGATGGATAACCTGGAACTAGATAGTCATTCTGTCACATTAAGGGTAATAACTGGTTTGGTACTAACTGGCCACACCACGTTGGTATTTATTGGGTAACCTCAAATGGGACCCGATGGTAGTATGGTACAAGTCTTTGGCTATAGCTTCCACCAGGATAGTTGGGCCTCTACACCCTGGGTTTTCTCTGGAGTCAGGAGAACCTGCCCCAAGGTAACAAAATTTGCCAACCTTCCTCTCCTTAAAGCTAAGTGGACACATTCTCTTTTCCACTAGTACAATCATCTGGCCATTGTATTTGCTCCCTTCATTGGCCTGTAGGACATTATAGCACACATAAAGCCCTTCCTAAATTCACCAACAATCCTTAAATGATAGCCAGCAAAGCCTGTCCTTACTAAACACTAAAATGTCTCCATGAGAAAAGCTGTCCTCCAAAATAAGATGGCCTTGGACATTATTGCTACTTCGCAAGGAGGCACCTGTGACATAGTCCAAACAGAATGTTTGATGAGCTGCTAATGCGTTTGTCTTTATTAAACCACATAAAAACACACGTGAATATCCCGAGCAATCTGACATCCAGCCTAAGAGACTTAATAAATCAATGGTTTGAAACATGGGGCTTTTTGTAAAGAAACAAAAAATGTGTTGCTTATTTTACAAATAGTTAGCCTATGTTTTCTCTTGCATGTGCCCATAGTTTTTGCTGTGATATCTGCCTCCAATGTAGTCAGATAGCTGCCAAACTAGCAACCTCCCTGCTAACAAAACCCCTGTTGCCCTGGCCTGTTTGGCTCAGTGGATGGAGCGTTGGCCTGCGGACTGAAGGGTCCTGGGTTCGATTCTGGTCAGGGGCACATGCCCAGGTTGCAGGTTCGATGGGGGGGGGGGGGGGGCATGTAGGAGGCAGCCAATCAATGATTCTCTCTCATCATTGATGTTTCTCTCTCTCTCTCTCTGTCTCTCTCTGTCTCTCTCTCTCTCTCTCTCTCTCTCCCTCCCTTTCCCTCTGAAATCAATAAAAATATATTAAAAAACAAACAAATACACAAACCCTTGTTGACGGCGCAGGGCACATTACAAAAGAGGCAGGCATATATGTCCTAACAGCGGGTCAGCATCAGGCAGTCCTGCCCACCAGTAACCCGAGACCTGGACCTGGGCAGGGCAGTCAGAGGCGCCTCGCCTGCTCCGCGTCCTAGGACTGTACCATTCTGCCCCCCGTAGCCGCAGCGGGGGAAGGGGTCACGGCCAAGGACACAGCCTCGCGAGACCATCTGGACAGAATACAGGACTGACCCCAGGCACGGCTTCTACACAGAAACGTTGAAGATTCTGGAACGCAGGTGCAGAGAGAAACGTGCCTTTTGCCCCCAAGACAAGCCTCGTGTATATGTTCTCTCGCTTCGTAGAACCGCCGCCTCCCAACCCGGAAGCAGCCTCGCGCCCATCGCCCCTGGCCCTCCCTGGGTGCATGGAGGCCACTTCCGCATGTTACCCGGGGAGCTCCCCAATTTGGGGACCAAAAATGTTATTCCAAAAGATAGGTGTATTTTGTGTGCATGCTCCGTTATAGGGCCTAATAACTGGAACCTCAGTCATTTAAGCGGCTTGGCCAAGGTTACATAGATACCGGCGTGGACTTGAGGCCTGAACTCTGATTTGCTCACTTCCGGTCCCCTTTCTTTCGGCGTCAGAGACGCACCGAGCGCAGACCTTCAGGCTCTAACCTGTGCGCAGGCGCATCCTGGACCCACATCCACAGTGAGTCCCAGGGCCAATCTGAAATCCGGTTTGGGGAAGGAGAAGCCAAGAGAAAGGCGATGAGCTTGCAGGGACAGTGTCACCCGTAACTTGGGCCGCATCTACCAAATATATTTTTAAAGATCGTCTTTTTGTGTGCCCAACATTCCAAACCACTGACTGTTACTGTACAGATTCTAGCCGTTTATTTGGGTGACAAAATATTGTGATTCAGTGTTCCCCTGTATTTGGAAGGGAACCTTTTCCGTTTGTGAATGTCTTGGAAATCTCGCCAAACCAGCAAAGCCTGGACATGCGGGAGCTTATTTCTTGAACGCAGTGGTCCAATAAAGACACATACCCTCTCCTGATGGTTGCGATGCCCACCCTCCCCCCAAACAACAACAACAACAACAACCACCAAAGGTATGTCTTGGATGGGTTGACGCAGATGGGCACAGAGCAGCATGCCAGAAAGGATGCCCTTCGGAGCATTAATTTTCTCCTTAAGTCAGGCCACACAAGGAATCGTTCAGCTAGCTAGATCAAAAGCTCTTTTTAAAAAATATATATTTTATTGATTTTTTACAGAGAGGAAGGGAAAGGGATAGAGTTAGAAACATCTATGAGCTGCCTCCTGCACACCCCCTACTGGGGATGTGCCCGCAACCAAGGTACATGCCCTTGACCAGAATGGAACCTGGTCAATGGAACCTTGACCAGAATGGACTCAGTGGATAGAGCAGTCCGCAGGCGGATGCTCTATCCACTGAGCCAAACCTGCTAGGGCTAGACCAAAAGCTCTTCAGCAGATTTCAGACCTGCTTCGGAAGCTGCCAGAGGGGACACACCAATGCGAGAGCCACAGCCAGAGCCAGTGCCACACCAGCATGTGCTAGAAGACTGCCCTCCTTCCCCCCAGATGGCAGGGCCGGGGCTGTGTTCTCTGAAGTTCTGATGCAACCTGTGCAACCCATGACCTTATTAACTGGAGCCCCTCTGTGGGCCCACCCATGGGTGAGACCGAGGCCCCGAGTCTGTGAACTGGGAGTGGCTTCTTGGCTTCTCAGTTAGTAGGCAGAGCTTCTGACAGCCTGGGAGAATGCTCAAGGCAGCCACGGGGAGTAAAGACTTAGGTTGGAAGCCCTTGCTAGGAGCCAGAGAAAGAGGAAGTTCCCTCAGTGCTGAGCAGCCGGCTCCTCCCCCTGCCAAAATTTTAACTGCACATTTTCCCCATTTAAATCAGAATTGGTGATACCTATACAAGTCTGTAGTGTTTGAAAATTGAAAATCACATCGAAAAATAGCGATATTGTTGACTATACAAGGCAATGTCTTCAAATCGAGTAATGATGCGATGTGTGTGGTTAACCGTAACTACGCAGGAAGTGGTTTTATTTAAAAGTTTTTGTGCTCACCCCCACCCCCTCCTTTTTTTTTTCTTCAGTTCTGAAATTAAACAGCATCCAACATAGGCCTACTCTTACGACATGTGACTTCACTGTTTTCCGTTTTTGCTGAAAGAGTCATTAACAGTAACAAGTTGATGGCAGTTTCAATAACAAGTCATCACGGAGAAAAGGTAAGTGAGTTTTAACTTTATGTTGAACATGAAATTTAAACTGGAAAACATTTGACAGATTATCCTAAGCTTTGGTGTGAACATACAAACATTTCTATAAAAAATGTGATGTTTCCGCCTGTGATTGAAACGTAAGTTTGTTTCCTTTGGTGCAGGCAAGAATATTCTTTTCATATTCGCAGCTGTCAAATTCTCAGCTTCTTTATTGAGATATTATACTCGGATCCTTTACTCAGATTTCATAGTAAAATATTAAAGACGAAATAAGGTATATTTTTAGTTTGAAAGTGCTTTTTAAAAATAATTACTAGAGAAAATGTGAAAGTTTGCATTTTTAACTGGTTTTATAAAAATATGTACTATTTGAGATCCAGCAAATGAAAGAAAAAAGGCATTTTAACAATAAGAAATAACATCTGGATTGCAATGTGAGAGATACTGTAAAGTGCTGTAATAAAGTTAGCACTAGAAACCCTTGAAAAGGTGTAGGTCATTAAATGAGTAGTTTATTAAATAGCTATTAAAAATCAGCAAAGTTTAAAATGCAAAAGAAAGCTCTGTACTGTGACATTTGGATGTATTTTTTTCTAAATTTTACTTAAGGTGTAAGTGAAATGAGTGCAAGTTTTATTTCATAAGCAAAACTGTATGTTTAAAGCAGAAGTCACAGCTGACTTCACCGAAGGTTACTTCTGGGGAAAGAGGCAAATTAGCGATATACTTTTGTTATTTATGTAATTATATAATTTTCCTTCCTTGAGATTTTCCAAAATAAAAACTCTAGTAATAAAAAGGTTTTCTTAATCATAAATTGACAAGAACTTTTATATTGACTTCTTGCTTTTAGAGAATGTCTGTGTGTGCTGTAACATATGTACAAAAAATATGAAAGTGTTGCTAATCTCAGAGACAAATACCTGAAATAAATCTGACTGTAGATTTTTGAAAGAATTTTAATAAAAGCCCCCGATATGATCCACTATTTTCTAATATTATTTTTATTGTGCTGTTGGATGGGGGAAGAGATGACCCCCACAACACCTATATTTTTGTGTTATTAAACATGGTCACAGGGTTGATAAGTGGCAACAATTTTCTTGTCTTCTATTGAAAGACATATATAAATGTGTGTTTTTTTATATGGTCAAGTTAGCAGGAAATTATTAGGCATACTAGTACACTCCATTTTAAGACCTCTTCAATTGTCAATACTGAAGCTTGCTACTTGTTAACTTAAAATGATCACAAAAAAAACAAATTAAGACTTGGTGTTCAATACATTTTTTATTGTTAGAATGTAAGAAGACTTTGGTAATATGAATTTGCTTTGATATACTGATTAGCTTTTTAATTTGTTGCATTACCTCACAATGGAAAACATTATTTAAATCTGCCTTCAATATTGTGGTTCTGACCCTCTGTATCTGTAGAAGCTGTGTAATTCAGATAGTTTGAGTTGATATGTTATTACTTTATTTCATTTTATTATAAAATAACATTGCATGAATAAACATATGTAATGCTTACACATTAGAACAAAATGAATATCCACATAAGCATTTGGTACTGAAAAAAAAAGGTCAGTATAGTTTTTTAGACTATGTAATATTTTAAAAACCAAATTCTCTGTAAAACAATGGTTTCTTGCAGAAACAATTAAAAATAAAAATAAAAACACTTCATGGGATATATGTAAAATTAAGAATTAATTAAACATAGCTTAGCATTCTAAAGCATAAAGAACAATAAGTAGTACTTATAGACATGTAAACTAAAATACACTCAGAATTGCGTGTAAAACAAGTAATGTATTATCTCTTGAATATACAGACCAAGTCTTAAGAAGCAATTCCAAATGAGTTACTGTAGGTTACTATACCTTTATACATTTTAAGTGAATAAATAAGAAATGAATTTTGGTGAAATAACAGCAATGCAGAGGATCTCATTTGGAGTGTTAGTTCAAAACTGATTTATTAAAAGAATATCATTCTTTTCCACTTGGGGCCAGCACTCAGCAATAATCAGAAAGGAAACATGCTTTCATTAATATTCCTTCTCTTCTTTTTTAAGGGTCTGTTCTGGAGTGGCCTACTCTATCCCTCATTTAGAATACCCCACACAGCCTTGGTACCCAAAGGGATAGGCCTCACTTTGCTCATGCCATCCCACTCCCATTGTCCTTAAAGATCTACTCATCCTATTTCTCAGCATTGAGAGCTTCTGATGAAAGTTGTCCATGCTCACAGAAAAAGGTCATAGCGTTTTGTTTCTCTATTTTTTAGCCAGGCCACTGTTCTTCCTCCAACTAGAATTCTACTAAGGTCTCCCAGCAGACAGGATCCACAAGAACAGCTAAATGTTGAGGAATTCCATGTCAAGTGAGGCAAATGGGAAGCTAGGTTTTATGGCAGAAGTGTGTTTTGTTACTCATTGGTCCTGCCGTGGTATTTGAGCACAGAATTCCTAAGACTGTCCTCTATAAAGGGTCCATCAAAGAGATGTTTCCGTTGCTCTAGGTATTCCAGAAAAGACATACATATTTCTTGTGGTAGATGAAAGTTACATGTATTATATCTTCAGATAGTTTTGGTATTTTCATAAACTTGGAAAATATTTAGCATAATCAATTGCTATATATATTTTTAAAAAATCATTTATCATCCTAAATTTAACCCTTTTAGTGACAGAAGCATAGATATAACAAAATAATTGTTATATAGCTGGACATTAAAATGTACTTGTGTCCTGCCTCTATTCCCAGTCAGGGCACATACCTGGGTTACGGGTTCCATCCCAGGTTGGGGAGCATAGAGAGGGCAACCAATCAATGTTTTTCTTTCACATCGATGTTCTCTCCCCCCCTACTTTCTCCCTCCCTCCCTCCTTCCCTTGCTTTCTCTAAGCATGCCCTAGAGTGAGGGCTAAAAATAAGTAAGTAAGTAAATAAATAAATAAATAAATAAATAAATAAATAAAATGTACTTATATTCTAAATTTCAGTTATAGTAGACTTTCATTTACAAAGGGTTGAAAAATGAGCTAAAATTAGCCAACATGATAGAGATAGGCAATGATTTATATAATTAAAATTTCCAAGGAGAGCAAAGTCAGGCATGGCTGTATCCAAGAGATCATACATAAATATCAGGATTCGTTCTTATGTTCTTTTTTTCTATCAGCAGTTTCTTGTAGAAACTCACACTTAAATGACAAGAAAGTTTTAAGTTTACATCCAATCCTTTCAACAAACTCTGTTGCAAATTAATGCCTTTCCTGTAACACAAGAAAGGTCTTGGATTGAGATCTATTTGGACTGAATTTTGTCACATGACCATAGCTGAGCAGGTATTTGACTCGGGCACAGACACCCTGAGTGACCATGAGTGACCAGGCCTAGGTCACCGGCCCACACATGCATCGAGGAGCCACCTGTACCTGCAACACATGTTCTCTTAGCTGAAAAGAGGAGCTTCCACACAACAGAAATGAAAATGCTTTCCCCAGAAGAAAGGTGATTTCATTACTTGTAGGGAAAAGCACAGAGCTCCCCAACACAGCCACATATATAGTCACATTTAAAAGCATTACTTACTTACATTGTCCAGACTCTATCATCAGAATGAAATACAGTATCAGTTTACAGGTAAGTTTGAATGACACAAGTGTTTCAATTAAACTGAAATTAAAATACTTTTAACCAGCTACTCCATGTATGAACCCCCTCCCCAGAATATTTGTCATCTAAAATTTATAATCTAGAATGATTACTATTTTAATAATTATGATGCAAATAAAAATTTCTACGTGCCATAAAAGATACAAAATATATTCTATCAGGGTTCAGAAATTCATCTAACATTTTTGTATTCTTGTTATGTCAGCCAAAAACTAGAGAATTTTGCAGATGTTGCTTCATTTGGTCATATCCTACCGGAAAATTCAGGACAGTTTTGGGGGAAACATTTGGAGTAGTTTTCAGACAAAGCTAGGACTTGGGAGATCAGAAACATTCCAAGTGACAGGAAGAGAATCTGTCAAGGCACAAAAACATGGAGGAATATCAGAAAATTTCTGAGGAAGGATTAGTTGTCTAGTTTTGTTGGCTAGAAGAATAGATAATGGTAGGAGGTAAGGCCAGAAACATAGTTTGAGATCCTAATAGAGTGGACTTGCTGAACAGATTATGACTAGGGATTGATTGTAAATAACAACAAGGTTGTTGAGCATGGAAAATACCTAATTGGATATGCACATTTTGCTTCTCAATGGGGTATTTAGCATCAGGATTTATTTGTTCCATATACCTCACTGTTGGTGACAAATGCGTCAGGGAAGTTTATGGCAATGGTTGCAGTCACTGGAGAGGTATTCCTCAGAAATCAGGCGCTAGCTCATCTCCCCAAATGCCCTGAGGTTCTTAAAAAGGCTGCAATCATCTTTTTTTTTTCTTTTCATTTTATGAAAGTCATTTTTATATGTAATTTTGTTTATTTTTAGTTTGAGAATAGGTGATAGATACAGTGAGGTCGTTCAAAATCAAAATAAAACAAATATAAAACTTTTAGAGAAAATTTTTCCCACATTCTAATTTTTATATACCACATTCATCCCCACCTTAACCAAACAGGCAACCACATTGTTTTTAAATCCTCATCTGAGGATATGTTTTCATTGAATTTAGAGAAAGAAGAAGGGAAAGGGGGAGAGAAACATCGATGTGAGAGAGAAATATTGATTGGCTGCCTCCTGCACAACCCCAACCATGAATTGAACCTGCAGCCTTTTGGCACACAGGATGATGCTCCAACCAACTGAGCCCCCCGGCTAGGGCGTCAACCACATTTTTAAACTCATGTCTTCCTTTATTATGTTTAAAGGTAACATACTGTGCATACTTTGCTTTTTTATTTAGTAATATCATGGATATATTTCCATACTAAAAATAAATACAAACCTATATAATCCTCTTATTTTTTACAGCTGTACAGTATTCCACT